TCTACTTTCATCGTGTGAAATCTGTTCAACAGCTACATACTTGGTACGTATACTTTGCACATTCGAAACATTATCATTAACCGTTGGTGCAACATTTTCAGTAGATACGTCCGCAGATGAATTATCTGAAAATACAATATGTTAACTTTATTGCTTTATTCATGTTATTCTAATTCAATGCATATTTATTACCTTGAGATGTTTTCAAAAGCACAGGATTCTCACATATGGTGTCGGATGGAACAATGGTTGAAGATTTCAGTTGTTGACCATTATGATATACTTGATATTTTCTCGCTTCTTTTCCAAGAAGTTCTTCTTTCAAATCAGCAATGTCTGCACAGTCGTCGAGTTTAACCTTCTTAGCTTCACGATCTACGATTTGAGCCCAAATAACGATTGTTGGCATTTTATTAATGCAAATATCTAACGTTAGAGTTAAATCTAATACGTGGTTTTCACCTTAGATGTACACTGGAAAAAATGAGGAGAGATGGTTTGAACTTTTACAAAAATTAACCGATGTAGAGGCTGAGATGCGAAGTTTTCAATAAGAATATTTATGCGGTAGGGCTAAAAATCGACGGAAAAAGTTTTTGCTGGTCAATGTAGGACGTCATACCTATCATAATCCACTTCTAATCATCAGATAGTTGTATGATTAATCTTCAAATAAGCCCTGTAGAATATATAGTTAGTACTTAACTTGAGATAACACTAGGTTTTGTAGAATAATCCAGTTTTATATCACAATCACATTTAATGAAAAACATTAAATTATATTTAATTATATTTAATTAACATTATTAAATTGAGCTATCATATGTCGAAATATCTTGTTATTCTAAATTAACTTGTTCTCTTAAATATGATACCAAATGATAAGAGAAAATAGAATTGTGTATTACTTTTAATTTGTTTGTATTTTCATAGAGTCGAGGCAACGATAGTGGGCAATAACCCAGAATCATCTGTACAATCAAAACCTCTTCCAAAAAGAGAAAATAAAATAAAGCGA